TTTACCCCCTAGGCTTGATTGAAAATAACATTAGATTAATAAAGAATAGCTTTTTGAATGGGGAATACGTAAGGTGAGATAAAGAGGCCTTTTCTCATGTTTTATCTTTGCCTTCATGCATTCCCTCTAAAAGGAGAGGTGAACAAGTGAATAAAAACGGTTTTCTGTGAAACTACGACACTTTCTTAAGTTATGGCCCCTTTTAGAGTAAAAGTTGACCCATTATCCAGATTGGGTTGCTACAGAATAATGTGCTCCTTTGATCGCTTTAATGTTGGAGAGACTTGTCGTCCCATTCGACAAAGCATGGCTGAGCACAAAAGCGCCTGCAAAGGCTGTTGTGTTCAAAAATCGGGGCTGGTTGAGCACAGGCCAGAAACGAGACACGAGACTGAATGGTCTCACACTTCTCGTTTTGCTGATTATGACATGTATGAGGCTAAACGTAAATATATATACAAGGCGTTCGTTTGGTCTCGATATTACAGCTAGGTTATTCTTACAGGAAGACTCTAAGGACCTAGTACATGCCACGTCCTCTGACATTGTAGTGTGGTCTTCTTCCAGTATCCGTCTGTACGCTAGATACTTACCAAAACCTTTCGACTGAATTACCACTAAACAGAATCATTCTTGCCACTACATGTTCAAAACAGTGTCTTCACTAGGCCTTTCCTCCTGGTTAGCCTAGGCCTAGTTTCCCTGGCCCCTTATTCTATGTTTTCTCTTCTTTCAATCTTAGGTAGAGAACTCTTTTTATTTCTTTATTTTAACTACACTATGACCTTTCTTATGCTAGTCCATAATCTTTTATTCTCTCATTATATAGTCTTGCCTGATTATATGGTTATGCTCAAAATCAATGCGAATTTTTTTCACCAGCCCAGAGGAAGAATAGCCAGATCATCAAACACTGAGATCCTTAATGTTTAAAGTAATTATAATCAGCAGACTAATTTTCAATTTAAAGCCTATCCCTTAGATAACTTACCAGCCAAGGTACGCTGATAATTTTTATATCGTAGGTTTGGTGTCTCAATCACTCGCAAAGTTATCCTATGCCTAGCATAGCTCCACACTTCGCACCAATTCGCTCTTAGCCCACTCATACCTCACCCATCTCAAACTCCATTCACTCTACCTACCTATCTACCTCAATCTTTAATCATTTTTTGGATAGCGTCTCCGCCCCCGGGCAGGTGATCGTCTGCTTCGACAGCTTGATGCTTATAAAGACAATCGAGTGAGCGTCAAGATGCTCTTGGAGGACTCAAACGCTAAGGATGCTTTGGCTTCCGATAATGAAGCCCTTGAAGCCGAACTACTCGGTTTGCAGACACGACTGGCTTCCCAACAGTTGGAATTCTCCTCTCACCAGGTGGAGCTGCAATCGAGTTTGGCTAGTTTAAAGGCAAAACTTGAGGAAGCGACGGTAAATTACGTTTTGCCAGCTTTTCATAATTTTTTATCAGCTTATTATCCATGATGGAGTTTATGTCACCCAGTTCATAGTAACTAGCTTAACTTTCAATTGATCCTCAGTGATTTTGGATTCCTACAATCTTATAATTCGCCTTCATATCATTTGAGCTCTTTGACTTTAGCGTAATTTAATCTCTATTATGCTTCTAGAAAATAAACTCTACTTTCACGGATTGGATTTTAAACTTTTAAGCACTAAGCAGCAATTAATAGCATGTTTACCGTGTTTCTCATACTATTTTTAGATTTTATATGTCCCCTCAACAGATACAAACCTCAGATTAATGTTCCTTTACGTACTATTTACCTTCTTGAACATCATATGGGTTGTTATACTCACTTCAAATAGCTGCTTAATTCCGCTCCAATTTACAATTTACATTACCGTTATTCTTTTATTACCTAGTCTTTATGGTTAACTCTATAGCTGAGCCATATATATTGTTAAGCAATCAATTTAAACTTTAACATTTTTTAACATTATATGCTTACACCATCCTGAATTTGTTTGCTATCATAACTTTAATTAACACCAATCTG